CCCAGCACCATTAATGGAAAGAAACTGCCTTTCCTCACTGAATGATTTTTGACACCTTGTCAAAATAATTGACCATATATGTCAGGGTTTATTTCTGGGATCTCTATTCTATTCCATATATGTCTGAATATATATGCCTTGTTTTTATATCATTACCACACTGTTTTTTAAGCATTTTTTTAGTTGTAGGTGCACACAATACCTTTATTTCATTTTAATGTGGTGCTGAGGATCAAACCCAGTGCCTCACACTTGATAGGTGAGCCTTCTTCCTCTGAGCCACAACCCAAGCCCACCATACTACTGCAGCTTTGTAGGAAGTTTTAAAATCAGGAAGCCTGAGTTCATCAGCTTTGTTCTTTTTCAAGATGTTTTGGCTACTTGGAGTCCTTTGAGATTCCATATAAATTTTGAGATAGATTTTTTTTTATTTCTGAAAAAATTGTTGACATTTTTAATAGAGATTGCATTGAATCCATAGATTGCTTTTTGTAGTGCTGACATTCATAAATATTAAGTTTGGCCAGGCACGGTACGCATGCCTATAATCCCAGCAGCTTAGGAAGAGGAGGCAGGAGGACGGCAAGTTCAAAGCCAGCCTCAACAATTTAGCACGGTGCTAAGCAACTCAGTGAGACCCTGTCTCTAACAAAATACAAAATAGGGCTAGGGATGTGGCTCAGTGGTCAAGTCTGAGTTCAATCCCTGGTACCCCGACTCTCCAAATTAAGTTTTCTAGTCCATGATAATGGACTCTATTTATTTTGGTCTTCTTTAATTTTCATCAGCAATGTTCTGCAGTTTTCAGTCACTTTCAGGGCTAATTCCTAAATATTTTATTCTTTGTGATGCTATTGTCATGGAATTGTTTTCTTAATTTCCTTTTCAGATTTTTTATTGTTAATGTACAGAAACCCATTTGTGTGTGTGTGTGTGTGTGTTTCTATGTATGAATTTTGTGTCTTGTAACTTCAGAGAATTAATTCATTAGTTCTAATAGCTTTTTGTGGGTTTTATATAAATAAGATTATATAAGATTATGTACCTGCAAAAAGACATCAATTTACTTCTTCCTTATGTTCCTTTTTATTTCTTTTTCTTGCCTAATTGCTCTAGCTAGAACTTGAAAAACTATGTTGAATAGACGTAGTGAAAGTTGATTCTTTTTCATCACAGAGTATTAGCAGTGGGTCTTCATTTGTGACCTTTATTATATTGAGATAGCTGTTTTATTCTAATCCTAATCCTAGTTTTTTGAACTTTTTTAAAATCACAAATGGGTTCTGAATTTTGCCAAATGCCTTTTCTGCTTCATTTGTGATGATCAGATGGGATTTTTCCCCTTCATTTTATTAATGAGATATATTATACTGATTGATTTTCTTATCAAGGATGTTGAGCCATTCAAGGGAGAATGTGAGCTATCTCCAGAGGGAAAGACAGCTTGCATCAATATGTATAAGGGAGTCAGGTATGGTGATGTAATGCCTGCAGTACCAGCTAAGCACTTCCCTCAGGATGCTGAGGGGGAGGAACATTGGAGCCCAGAAATTGGAGACCAGCCTGTGCCACATAGCAAAACCCTGTCCCCCCCCCAAAAAAAACAACAAATAATATTTATAAGGGATATTAGTCTATAGTTTTCTAGTAATGTCTCTGACTTTGGTATCAGGGTAATGCTTGCTCCATGGAGTGAGTTAGAAAGTGTTCCCTACCCTTCGATTTTTTAGAAGAGTTTGAGAAGGACTGGTGCACTTTGAATGTTTGGTAGAATTCAACCAATTCAACATCCTTACTAGTTATAAGTCTATTCAGATTTTCTGTTGCTTAATGATTTAATCTTGATAGATCTTGTGTTTCCAGGAATTTATCCATTTCATTTGGGTTGTCTAGGCTCTCCAGTTTGTGGGCATACAATTTATCCATAGTTTTCTCTCATAATTCTTTTTATTTTTAAAGAATCAGTAGTAATGTTCCCACTTTCATCTCTGATTTTTAGTAATTTGAGTCTTTCTTAGTCAATCTAGCTAACCGTTGGCAATTTTATTAAAAAATGCAAACTTCTGCTGGGTACAGTGGTGCATACCTATAATCCCAGTGGCTTGGGAGGCTCAGGCAGGAGGAATGCAAGGTTTTGTTTTGTTTTGTTTGGGCACCAGGGATTGAACCCAGGGATGCTTAACCTCAAGCCACATCCCCAACCCTTTTTATATTTTATTTAGAGAAAGGGTCTCACTGATTTGATTAGGGCCTCTATAAGTTGCTGAGGTTGGCTTTGAACTCTCGATCCTCCAGGAATGCAAGTTTGAACCCAACTTCAGCAATTTAAAGACCCTAAGCAATTTAGTGAGACCCTCTCTTAAAACATAAAAAGGGCTGGGGATATGGCTCAGTGGTAAAGCACCCTCTGGGTTCAATCCAAGTATCAAAAGGAAAGAAAGAAAGAAATGCAAACTTTTGGTTTCATTGATTTCCTCTATCATTTTCTGTTCTCTTATCTCTGCTCTAATCATTTTCTTTTTTCTGCTAGCATTTGGTTTCATTTGGTCTTTTTTCTTTTTTTTAGTTTTTCAGTGTATAAATTTTTGTTGTTGGTTTGAAAACTTTTTTAATTGTAAGCATTTACAGCTATAAATTTCTTTCTTAGGACTGTTTTTATTGCATTCCTTAAGTTTTGGTATGCTTTCTTTTTGTTTTCATGTCTTAAGATTATTTTCTAATTTCCCTTGATTTCATTTCTCATTCATTGGTTGTTTAATGAAAATGTTGGGTTATGGGTATACTTAGTGGTAGAGCACTTGCCTAGCATATGAGAAGCCATGGATTCGATCTTCAGTATGGCTAAATAAATATATAAAATAAAAAATTTAAAAATGTTGTTTAATTCTCACCTATTTTTCAATTTTCCCTTTGCTACTAATTCATTCCATTACAATTGGAAAATATGACTTACATGATTTCATTTTTTTTAAATTCATTGACTTCTTTTATGGTTTAACATATGCTCTATCCTTAAGAATGCCTAAGTTATTTTTTTCTTTTGTGCACACTATGGTTTTTATGTCCAAACCTCATCCCAGATGCCAGCAATAAAGCTATTGGGCAGGAGATGTAGCTCAGTGATAGTTTGTGTTTAGCATGTATGAGCATGGGTTTAATCCCCAGCACCACTAAAATAAAATAAATCTGTGGCCTGACAGAAAGGCTACCTGCTAGAGCTGTAGGGTTCTTCAGAACTTTGAGTCCAGCCACCTGCCATCTTACAGGTGAGAAAATCATTTTCTTTTTTCTGCTGGCATTTTGGTCAGAAGGTTTCATCTAAGATTGTACTAGGGCCTGGTGGCTTGCAGGTCATGGACATTGAACCAGTTCAAGTTCTTGCCTGAGAGCCTGCCATGTCATCAGCAATAACCACATAAAATCTCCACCCAAAGTCCATTCAACAAATGTTTACTGAACATCTAAAACATTCCAGGCATAAGGCAAACCCAAAAGTGACTCCATCTGTGTAGGGCCTTCCTGCTCTCAGATGGGCCTGACGATTCTGCTTCCCGGCAATGAACCGTGTAGATAATCAAATAGTGTCCGGTACATTAATGTCTATTTCATAAATGAACCAACTTGTCACCTAAACCTCTATGTTAGGCTGACTACATGCTTCTTCTAGAAACCATAGGCACAAAGGCTTTGGATATGGCAGGGCCAGACAGAAAAAGCTCATCATGTCTCTAGGGCTGGATTCAATGAAACAGCAAGGCACAAGGAGGGGGCCTATACCTGAAGCACTAATGCCTTTAAATATAATCAAATAAGAGAATAATTCCAGATAACCCAGAATCAATTGAAGAAATTAATCTTAATCATCCTTAAGATTGTATTTCTTAGGAACCACTTCTGGTAACAAAATCTGTATTAGTCAGACCCAGAGAGGCAGAACCAGTAGGATATGCATTAAGAGATTCATTGCAAGGACCTGACTTCATGATTGTAGGGCCTGGCTAGGCAAGTCCAATAGCTACAGGGCAGGCTGTCAGGGAAGCAGGTTGGAATTCCTGCCAAGGCCCAGAGCTATGGTTGGCATACAGAATTCCTCTTCCTTAGAGAAGCCTGAGCCATGTTCTTTAGACCTTTTAATGGGTTGATTCAGGCCCACCTAAGTGATGTGGAATAATATCACTTACTTAGTCAATTGGTTATGGTCTCTAATTGAATCTACAAAATACTTCACAGAAAGTTTGGCTTGGTAGTGCATCCCTGTAGCAGCTCGAGAGACTGAGTCAAAAGGATTGCCTGAGTCCAGGACCTGGAGGCCAGCTGGGGAAATACAGTGAGATGCTTTCTCAAAAAACAACCCTTTACACATACCTGGGCTAGTGTATGACTGGGGAATAACCTGGAATGTCCAAAGACTACCTGCCCACATCCACACTGTAGGCTCCACAACTCTGTATCTGCTCTCAACCTCTTTCCACCAGCACACAGATTCTCATGCTGACCCTTAAGAAGCCGATAGTGCCAGGCATGGTGACACATGCTTATAATCCCAGGAACTCAGAAAGCTCAGGCAGGAGGATTGCAGGTTCAAAGCCAGTCTCAGCAATTTAATGAGGTCCTAAGCAATTTAGTGAGGCCCTGTCTGTCTCAAAAATACAAAATAAAACAAAAAAATTTTTAAAAGCTAGGGATGTGTCTCAGTGGTTAAGAACCCTTGGGTTCAATCCCTAATACCAAAAGAAAAAAAAAAGCATTTAAAAAAATTTAGGTAGAATTAATATAACATAAAATGAAACATTTAAAGTATGCAATCCAGTTGTATTTAATATATTCACAATCATAACCTTTATCTAGTCCCCAAACATTTCCATCACCCCAGAAGGAAACCTTGTACCCATTTAGCAGTCATTCCAATTCCACCTTACTCCTGCTGTGGCATTTAAAAATCCATTTGGACAGTAACATAATTAGGGAGAACTTGGATGTGTGAAGCCTGCCCCACTTACTCATCTAATGGGGACAGAAGACAGCTACTCCTTCACGATAGTGGGGACATAGTTGGGTTTGACAGCTTCCGCAAGCTCTCGTGCGTACATCTCATATCTGCCTGTCATCTGAAAACAAAACACAGACATACTTTCGAGGTTCCTTTTTATAAACACTTATCACTTACTCACCACCATTTCTTGCCACTGGGGGGCAGCCGTGAGATAGAAATACTGGTTGACAGGACAATTTCAGACCAATGTAGAGAAGCAACTCCACTGTGACCTCTTAGCACTGATTCCAGTGATTCATACAGCCTATTCCAGCCTGTGGTGACTTCTGTGACCTGCCTGTTCAGGGGATGTGGTCTGCCCCCAGGGAAGAGGGAGGAGAGGTGTCCTGTGGTCCTGCAGCAACTCAGAAGAGCAGCCTACAGCCCAGAGAGGTCACTAGCCAGGAGTGGAAAAGGCTGAGGATTTGAACCCAGATATCTTGGCTGAGTTTTTGGTCTGTTTGCTCCATGTGGCATCTCATTATGGACACAGATAGTCTCTGGCATGCCTTCCATTCTTCCATCTCAAGTCAGCTTCTTCAAAAAGCCTCAACATGAGCTCATTCCCATTGCCACAGCTGGGAATGATTCTGCTTCAAGAAAGTAACTCATGAGAAAACATTCTGTTTACTGCTCCTGGTGATACTTGTTAAAGAGCTGGCTGGAATGCCTATAATCCCAGCAGTTTGGGAGGCTGGGTCAGGAGGATTGTAAGTTTGAGGCCAGCCTTAGCAACTTAGTGAGACCTTATCTCAAGATAAAAAATTAAAAGGGCTGGGATGGGGCTGGGGCTGCCTAGTGTGCATGAGGCCCTGGGTTCTATTCCCAACCCCATAAAACAACATAACAAAAAATAAAAAAAAGGATGTGGATGTAGCTCAGTGGTAGAACACTCCTGGATTCAATCCCTAGTACAGGAGGGAGGGAAGGAGGGAAAAAGAAAGGATAGAAGGAAGGAAGGGAGGGAGAGAGGGAATTCTCAGCTCTGACTTCTGATTTAGGTAGAATTCTGCATTAATCTAAGCTATCCAAGAGGAGTGGCATGTCAAGAGATGGTCATGGGTAACACCTTGTTTGTCTGGCAAAGATCTGAGACTGGGGATTGTGTTCAAGGACCAATGTTTAAGAAAGCAGGGGAGTAAGGCCTAGAGCCCATAACTGTCTGAACAGGAACCCCTGGGCTCCTCCCAGTCACATAGGCAATGTCATTCAGTTATAACAATGTGACATTCACTTGCTGGGTGGTTTGCTCATCAATGGGGACTGAGTTGGTGGAAATACTACTGGATATGAGTACAATAAACCCTGCCTTGGTCCTGTCCTTGTCTACACTGTTCCATCCTGGGATGACAGGTACCTACATTCCTCTCAAACACTTGATGCCACAGAGTATCAGTCTCAAAGGCAGCAGGCAGCAGGCAGCATGTGAATTAAGCCTCTCATTTTACATCTGGGAGTCCTAAGGCCTGGGAGCAGAAGGTGCTTGCTTAGGGTGACTGACAGAAGGCAGAGCCAGGCCCAGATCCATTTCTCTGTGTGACCCATTTCCCACTATTGTCAAGGCCAGACTGTGGAGCCTGGCTGCAGGCAGAACCAGACATGCACACTTATCTTGTGATAAGTGCAAATGCCTGGAAAGGAAAAAGGATTAGACAAGCAATCCACTCTATTCTCTGGACAAATGAAATTGAGATTAATTTGTTTGAAGGCACCTAAAATCTAAATCAGATGAGAGAATTTATGGAGGCCTGCTGTTTGTACATTGTTTGATCCAATAGTTCCTCCCCACAGCCCACAGGGAGGCAGAGACCAGGCCCAACATGGAGCTCCTAGGTCTAAAGGAGGCACCTTCTGTAAGCTGTTTCTGAGGGAAAACACCATTAACTGCGGTTCACAGCTCTGTGAGCAGAATGAGGGCCAAAAAAAGAGGAGCAGGGTAACAGGAAGGAACTTAGGACCCACCTTGAAGTTCCAGACATCACTCATCTGCTGGCAGAGATTGAGGTTGAGCTCAGCAACCAGCAGCCCGTCCTGGCTACGGGAGAGCCCAGGAGTCCGGCTGCCATCAGGGGCTGCCACATAGCTTGAGCCATAAAAGTAGCCAAAGTCATGGTGAGCTTTAAGAAGCAAATGGAAGAGGCCATGAGTTTGTACAGACACAATGTAAGGTCTGTAGAGAGGCAGGTGCATTAAGGGACGCTCAAGACAAGATGTGCATATGTCTTTCCCCAGCATCTTCCAAATGCAGAAATTCAAAGGGCCTGTCTCCCTTCTCAGACCTGAAGGCCCAGTAGGTGGTTGTAAAGGTCACTCCTGTGTCACTTCCCACAGTCACTGAGAAAACTTCTAAAGGTCATCCTTTAGAGGTATTGACTCCCATCAGCTACCCACAATACAAGCCTCGGGGGCTCTAGGGGCTTCCTGTGAGGCCTGTTTCCTGTGGTGGCCCACTCAGTAAACTGGAGACTCTAGCCCTACTTGTCATGACAACTAGGTCACTTCATCCCCACTCCACATCTTGGTCCTCTCATGAGTCACGGGGTGCTAAGAGCCACTCCACAGGCATGTGAAGAGTAGTGGGCTGCAGGGCAGGGCCTACCTAGCATGGCCCCAACTCTTATTTCCCTGCCTCTTTTGCTCTTTTGTCAGCAGGAAGCTGAGACTGGAGTGTGGATCTGGGGTACAGTCCAAGATCTCATGTGGAAGGCTTTAAGACCCCTCCAGTGTGTTTTCTTGGGAAACATATCTGCTCAGGCCCCTCCAGACACCTCTTTGCTGAGGGGACAGCTTTTCCCTCACATCAGTGCCTAGAAAGTGGGACCTAAGGGTGTAGTAATCCTAGCAGAGGTGAGGTGTTACCTTCCCTTAGATCAAAACAAGCCGTAGATCCTAGAAACTCAGGCAATCCATGCTGACTTGAGGGGCATTTGTACAGCTGAGGGGGAGACAAAGGAAAGGAGAGAGGGAGGTCTGAAAGCTGCAAGACAGCCCTTTAGCTTTTTCAGGAGCTCACAAAGAGCTCCCCTACATCTCCTCAGTCCATCTTTACACCAATCCCAGTGAAGGAATGGAGTCTAATAATTCCCATTTGCTCCTTATCTGGGGAACAAAGTGGTCACATGTCCAGGACCTGGCCACAGTCATCCTGGCCATCGTCAGATTCCCCCACAGAGGGCAACAAAACAGAGAAGTCAGCACCTCCTCCTAGTCGCCAGGCATGCAGATACAGGCTATGGGACAGACCTTGCCCAGAGGAAGCAAACAGAAAAGTGGGGGATGAGACCCATCACCATGAAAATACACGGAACATACCTTTCTTCCCATCTCCAGAGGTAAACTCATTGGGGAAGTGCTCCTGTGAAGTAAGGTTAGAGTATAAGAGAAACCTATAGGTGGCACCACCACAATGTTCATTCCAGAACACTTAGCCAGACCAAGAATAGCAAGCCCGACCACAGGGAGTTAGCTTGGAAATAGTGAAAGTAAGATGCAGGGTCTGTTCTCTCTGGGCAATCAACAGATACTTGTTAAATGTCCTTCTGAGCACCCAGGATTAGGCAGCCAGTGGAGAATTTGACAAGCATGGTAAAGATCTGGATTTTGCCTTTGGGGAGTTTATAGTTTGGGAGAAAAGAAACACATTGGGCACTGATCAGTTCTCAGGGCTGTGGAAAGTATGTGAAGTTGGCCTTCCTGAAGCAGTCAGACCTCCGCCTGGGGTCTGTGAAGACATGAAAGGTGGAGGAGAGGGCCCTCATTTACCGTTTTAATATTTTCTCTAAAGCTTAATGAAATTTATACATCAAGTTGTGATGGGATCACACAGGCTAACCAAAACATCAGCATTTGGGGCTGGGGTTGTAACTCAGTGGTAGAGAGCTTACCTAGTATGTGTGAGGCACTAGGTTTGATCCTTAGCACCACATAAAAATAAATTTAAAAATGTATTGTGTCCATCTACAGTTTTAAAACATTTTTTAAAAATCAGGGTTTTCCCCTCCCTCCATTCCTTCCTTCTTTCCTTCCTTCCTTCCTTCCTTCCTTTCTTTCTTCCGTCCTTTCTTTTTTTAGCAGTACTGGGCCTAATTCATGCCAGGCAAGCATTTTACCATATAGACTTAGTGTGGAAAAATTCGTCATCTCAAACTGATCAGATGCTCTGAGCAGAGTTTGACCTGTGAAGTTGGGGATTTAGCTCAGTGGCTGAGTGCTTGCCATGCGCAAAGCCCTGACTGAGTTTGGTCCTTGGCTCTGGGGGGAAAAAGAGAGGAGGGGGGAACAAAAAAAATTAAAGGTATCAGAGTTTGACATGTGATTAATAAGAATGATGAAAAGGATTATTAGGTGATAAATGCGTTATGTTTGGTAGTCAAGACTGTTCAGTGGGTGGGGTCCACTGATGTGTGGGGACAATAACAAACTGGATACTTAGAAATGAGAGAATGAGGTCAGATCAAAGATCCTTTCAGAATTGTTTCAGCTAAATGCAACAACAGAAATCACAAACCAAGTTGCTTTGTCCCCTTCCAGATTTATGACATGTATGCAAAATAAACATGTGATATGTCTCCACTACAACCACCAGCAGTGGCTCCTTTAATCATCTATACCTCAGAGACTTACCTGGCCCACTCGGTTAATGGCACAAGTGAAGCAGTGATTGGCAATGGCAGCATTTCTGGCCTCAATTGGCCATAGGGACTCACTGTAAAAGAGGAAAAGGAGGAACAAGTTTGCCAACTCTCTAGCCAGACTCAGTGGATGCTCAGCCTAGAGCTGCAGCTGGTTACTGGCCTTCCAAGGCCTAGAGTGGGGACAGCTAGGGAGTCTTACTATGCCCAAGGATCACCTCAAACCTGAAAGCAGACCAAACTTGTCCTCAGCAACTTGTTTAAGCCCACAAAGTGTTTTGGGGAGGGCCTGCTACAGGCAGAAGCCACAAGGCTGTGGTTGACTATCAGAAGGATCAAATCCTTATCCTGAGCTTCAGTTTCCCTCTCCAAAACTTCCTCAAAAGGAGATTGTGAAGACTAAATGATCATGCAGATGAAGCTCCACATGGTGGTTCTTTCATAGCTATCATTTCCTATATTCTTCCTTCCTTCTGGGAATCTGTTTTCTATGCTGGGCTAAGAAGAACTTCTCCTGATAAATGTCAGAAGGGAGTTGGAACCTTGGGATCTTGGGTGTTTGTTTGGCTTGTGTGTTTGGCTTGTGAGGGCGGAGCATGGACTTTCTCTGCCCCACCCTAACTCTCCTACCGTACTGTTACCTTGCAAATCAGTCTCCAAGGGGGGAGATTTCAGACAGAGTAACCAGAAAGGAATTTAGGATATGTCTTGTTATGTGGAGTCATATCTTGTAGCAGAGTTATAACCTCTGAGTTTGGTCCTTGTTTCCCAGTGCCTTCCTATTTTCCTACTCTGAACCATGCACCTCTAAGCAGAAACTCCCTGGTTCCCTAACTGGATACCCTACAGGCACAGCTGAGCTGTGAGCCTTCCTCAGTCCAGCACCCACCAAAGGGAGAGTGCAGTGAGAGACCTCTTCCCAACCACAGACCCCATCCTTCTCCAGCCCTCCAGCCAAGATGGGCCATGGAATTCAGTGGGCCTTCTGCTCATTAATGATCTCCTGTCTGAGAAACAGTATCATTTAAATTCTAGATGGGCAGAAGCGATGCCCACTTACAAACACTGAGTGCCTGGGAGCAAAATGCCCCAGAATCTTCCTTCCTGTCAGTGTGCACCTGGTTTAAACCAGGGAGTAGGTGGAGGGGGTGGGTGCTTGTCATATGCCTAATGCTCAGGAGGATTCATGAGTCTGGAAAAGGGGGGAAAAATCACTGGCTTGATTGAGGGAACTCATTTTGCTTTTTTTCCCCCCACCTGCTAAGCCAAGCTGACAAAACTTTTAAGAAAAGATTTTTACAGAAACACACCCATAGATGACATTTTCAGGAATTAAATAAGACACTTGTGGGGTGATTGCCATAAAGTATCTTTCTTATAATTCTCCAGGGAGGTGTTCTGTGTAGGACTCAAACCCACAGCTGGCAATGAAATGTATGCTCTCAAAACCACCAAAGAAAGGAAGCTGGAGGATCACAAGAGTCGACTGTGTGCAGGAATCTTGAAGAGTCTGGTGTGGGGACAAGGGCATTTGACATATTCCCAGTGTATCACACACAAACCCCTAAAAATAATACCAGGGGGAAGGCCAAATGCAGCAAGGGGATGAGAAACAGACTTTCTGATGCATGAACATACAGAGCAGGAATCTTTGGTCACATGGGCTCTGCCGGATACATCCTGGGATTGCCAGCATGACTCAGTGAATAAAAAAGCACTTACACTCTATTGTGGGACACAAAAATGAGCAAGGACACCTTGCTGACCCACAGTTCAGGCACTCATGTGTATCTGTCTGTCTCTGGTAGAGCAAGCAGGGGATAGATGATTCTGGAAGTTGTGATCCAATGTGATAGGTTGCCTGGCATTGTACTAAGAATACCAGTTCTTCAAATAATCATTGATTGTTTAAAGAAAATTACCCAGAATCCCTGCCCTCCTAGTAAATCACCTGTTGTCACTTTTCCATACTCTACAACTATCCTTGTCCACAGGCCAAAAATTTTTACAGAGTTCTGACCACAGCCTGGATACATCTTTTTATTGCTCATGGGCTTCTGTTGTGATGCTTCGTTATCTTCATAATGACTCTTTCTAGTGGTAATAACCCATGGAAGAGATGAGCTAAAATTTACTTAACCCTGACATTTCTCCTGCTGCCATCCCCTCTCCCTCCATTATAAATAACACTGCCATAAACATCATGTGCACAGCCTTGTTCTCCTCACTTCCTCAGGCTACAGTTCCAAGAGTATCATTATCTGGCCAAAGGGCATGAACAGTTTAGGAGCTCATGAAACATTCCGATTTCCCGAAGACCTGCTACGGGTTTTTATGGCTGGCCTCACCACACCCTTGCAAGCCAAGGGTTGAAGGATTCTTGGCTGAGGAAAGAAAATCAATCATTTTTAATAAGCCTAATAAGCTGCTGAGGACATAAGCAGTTATGTGCCTATTACATTGGGACATTTCTGTTTGCTTAATTGGGGCTAATAAAAGCCCAAGATAGTAAGGCCAGAGAGGACCTCAGCAGGCATACACGTGTTGAGGCGGCTGTCTGGGTCTGCGGCCACAGCTTTGCTTGCCTTGACTCAGAAGTCAATTCGGGACCATGTACCCCAGGGTTGGCTTGTTTCCTCTAGGGATCCTTGAAGGAGAGACTTAACTCTTGGAAGGTCTGAAGGAGGGTGATACCCTAGGGGGTGGCCCCAAGGTTCTGCCCTGGGGGCTGGAACTAATGACCACCTCAAAAGCTCTGGTGATTAATTAATACTGGTGTTCAAGCCACCATAGGAACCCTGGTATATTCTCTGAGAAATATGCCTTTACTGAAGGGAAGATTCAAGGCCTGATTTTCTCCTTCTACTCTGCAGCACGCCTGCTGGATATGGACTAGACCTCCAGGTGCACATACAGGGTGGTGGACCTGAGGTAAGAGATTAGGGGTTGCAATATGACCTGATCAGAGACCTGCTGTGCAAGAGGGACAGAAATCTCAAAGTTGCCCATCAGACCTACCCCTGCCTGTCCCCCCACGTAAGGACCAGCCCAGGCAACAAGGACCTCAGAGAGTAGATGCCAGCATCTCCTGCTGCAGGCACTCTGTTTTAGAGGAAGTGAGTTGGGGGAGAGAAGTATTTGCACATAAATTCCTAAGCTCTGTTACTTGTAATGATGCAAACCTGGAAGTCACCCAAATGCTCAGATGTAGAGGAAGAGCCAAATGGCAGAGGCATGAGTGTGTAGGTTTTTTTTCCCCCCCAGTACAGGAGATTGAAGCCAGAAACGTTTCTTCACCACTCAGCTATATCCCCAGTTCTTTTTTTTTTTTTTTTTTTGAGACAGAATCTTGCTAAGTTGCTGAGGCTGACCTCACACTTACAATCCTCCTATTTCAGCCTCCCTAGTCATTGGAATTACAGGCATGTCACCACATCCTGCTATTTTATCTCACTTGCTTATTTACTATGTGGCCCTGAGGGGTACTACCCATGACGTTAGGGGCTGTCTGGGCCACCCCAATCCCAGCTCCCACTGCTGCCTTAACCAGAGTAGTTTTGTTTGTTAAAGGATAGGGCTGACACTCAAATACTAGCTGTTACATGTTATTAAAGGAAAACACTTTGCTGGTTAAACACAAGTTTCCTGGACTGATCTTTCTCTCTTTCTTTTTATAATATTATTGTATTTTTTGTACCTTTATTTATTTATTTTTATGTGCTGCTGAGGATTGAACCCAATGTCTCACACATGCTAGTCAAGCACTGAATTACAATCACAGCCCCCACCTGGACTGATCTCTTGAGTATCATCTGGGCTCCAATTCCCTCACCTGTTCCCTTTCTCATCTGGATTTCCATTCTCCCCTGTGGACACTGTAGATTTGAGGATCAGGAATCTGTAACCTCCTGTCCAGGAGCTAACACTGGTCAGGCACCTACTGGGCTTCAAGACTTAAAAGTGAGGCTTTCTGAATCTTGATGAATGCAGAGGAGGGTAGGGATTATTATTTTCATCTCAGTGTTCAGAATCATAGCAAAAGTTAAGTCTTAGAGGAGAGCAAGTGACTCTTTGGGGAGATGGTGCTTGTAATGGTCATCCTGAGAAGTCTTTTCACTGAAAAGCAGGTCAAATGTGCCATCATACAATCTAGGGCTCAGGTCTATTAGACATCCTAATGGCTGCACCTGCCTGCTGCAGTTTACCAAACCTATCTCTAAGTCCCACAGCCCAGCCTTTGGAGGAGACGGTGTCTGGGCCCCAAGAAGCCCCCAAGATCCTGCCCGCTGAGTGACCTGAGTATTCCAATGGTAGCTGAGGGGTTGAAGATGATCTCAGCCCCATTGATGCTGTACATGAGCCAGTTGAGAGGGTGGTGTCGCCCATAGCAAATGTTTACTGCGATCCTGCCAAACTGGGTCTGGAACACAGGATGGCCTAGGTTTCCTTCCATGTAATAGGTTGACTGAAAAACAAAAACAAAGGACCACATATCGATGCTTCAGAGCTTCAAGAATTTCACTTTCCTTAGACGCAACAGAAAAATATGACTAGTAGTCTAAAAGTAACACTCTTGGGTGTAGACTTTACAAGTTCCAGAATTTCAGTGTTAACAGATACATACACACACAGACAAACACACAAATCCAGATACAATAACCAACCAACCCCAAAGGAAAATCACGGTGGTTTAAACATTTGCCCACAGTCTCCTTTGTGACATGTCAAAAGTCTCTGATGATTACATATTAGAGGTTGTGAGGGGAATGGGAAAAAAACAAAACAAAATAAGGAGAGAAATGAATTACAGTAGATGGGGTAGAGAGAGAAGATGGGAGGGGAGGGGAGGGGGGATAGTAGAGGATAGGAAAGGTAGCAGAATACAACAGTCACTAATATGGCATTATGTAAAAATGTGGATGTGTAACCGATGTGATTCTGCAATCTGTATTTGAGGTAAAAATGGGAGTTCATAACCCACTTGAATCTAATGTATGAAATATGATAAGTCAAGAGCTTTGTAATGTTTTGAACAACCAATAAAGAAAAAAATCTCTGATGAAGCAACTTTCAAGGAAAAACTATGGTGAGGTTTCAAGTAAAGGCTGAGGTTTGATCCATGCTAACAAGAGTTAACTGATGTCTATACCAACCATATGTCCTTATACAGAAGTCTGCAGCTGAAGAAACTTGTACTCATTCAAAGCAATCCTCTTCCTATTTGGAAGAGAAAACTGTCACCTGAGTAGCCATGAGACTTGCTTAACTGATTAAGGCCAAATCTGAGAGTGGAGCCCACAAAAAGCGCCTTAGGCCTCCTGCCAGGGGTTAAGGATAAACCTGCAGGGCAGACAGAGGGGAGCTCTCCCAGCTGTGGAACATTATCAGGGACAACATTAAGCGAAAATAGAGGGGAAAGGTGGATTCCAAATAGGTCTGCCTTGGAGCCTTTGTTTCTTCTCATTCATTTCAAAATTGATGAGGATCAGGAAGCAACCAGGATATGCACACGTGGCAGACGCCAGAGCATATCCTGTTCTGAGACCTGCCCTCTGCTATCTGTGGGAGCTAAAAATTAATCAGAGGGTAAACAGGTGAGGGGCATGTCTTCCCACATCCACCTCCAGCTGTTACTGTGAAACCTGGGTTCTTCTCTCTCCTGGGGAACCTCATCTAGCCCTGTAAATGATTTCTTGTCTTCCCAACCAGCATAAGAGTAGCTGAGAGCCCTGTGATTGCAGAGGGAGGACCAAGGACTGAAACTGCACTTACTGAAAATCATATTCAGATTTAGTATCTTAGGCATTAGGTGGAGTTCATTTCCCTTCTTCCAATATCCACTCCCTCCATCTCACTCACCTATGAATTGACATGAACCAATCAAAACAGTCCCTGACTTATGCCCTGACAACAGGAATGAGAAGTCTCATGTAACACACATATACATATTCACCCCCTATCACCCAATACACGGACTTGGGCCAACTCAGACACCATGGGAGCTATAGATGAGCAATGCTACCCCCAAAACTAGGATTGGACTATGGTGGGCTAGGTGCTCAGATCCTGAAAGGGGCTTCAGGAATCATTTAATATTTGTGCACTATTTTGGTTTTAACTTAAGTACCACTTACTGCAAAGGAGAGTTTCAAGAAGTCATATCAGGTTATAGTTTAAAAATGTATAAAAATTCCACTGTGCTCCAGGTATCTGCGGCTCACCTGCCAGATAATGTCTGAATATCATCTGCTTGTGTGATGCATGGCAACATCATGAGACCCTCTGAGCGTCACATCCATACTATTCCAGCATTACATGGCACCACGTTATTCCACACAGAAAGCCCAGTGAGATTTGTAGACTAAAGAGCAAGCACAGTGATGCAGCTCACCTCATTGAAATCTCCCACTCTAGGGATATGGTTTTTCCTGGTCTTTCCCAAGACTGCTCCAGAATTGGAGATCACCACGGCTGTGTTCCACAGAACATTCCCATGATCTCTGTCTCGTTCCAGGATGGGGGACACCACCACCATGTTATGCTTCTTTGCTAGCTGGAAATACAAATAATTCAGAGTTCTACTTTCAAATCAATGGTTAAAGTTCTTTTTTTTTTATAAATATTTATTCTTTAATTGTATTTGGACACAGTACCTTTATTTTATTTATTTATATGTGGTGCTGAGGATTGAACCCAGGGCCTTGCATGTGCTATGCGAGCACTCTACCGTTGAGCCACAACCCCAGCCTATTAAAGTTCTTTTATTGGAGAAGAATTAAATGATCCTATTAAATAATTGGGTTTGGTTTGGAGCTATCACTCATAGCAGTTGTCAGGAACACTAAATGTCATTGTCATCCTGATGCCCATGGTTAACTAAACAAGAATAATCACTATTCTTTTGAAAAATATCTTTTTTTAGCTATAGATGGACACAATGCCTTTATTTTATTTATTTATTTTTATGCAGTGCTGAGAATTAAACCCAGTGCCTCACACATGCTAGGTGAGCACTCTACTACTGAGGAGCCACATCCCCAGCCCATAATAATCATTTTTGTGCTCTGCTGGTAAGAACATTAAATGGAAAACTCTATAGAGGTTTCCCACACCCACCCCTCAATTAAATATAGAATTACATGATCCTACTTCTGGATATATACCCAAAGGAACTGAAAGCAGGGCTCAAAAAGATAATTCTACATGCAGATTCATAGCAGCATTATTTACAATAGCCAAGAGATAGAAGCAACTCAGGTATCCATCAACAGATGAATAGGTAAACAAAATGTGGTCTATCCATACAATGGAATATTATTCACCCTCAAAAGAAAAAAGGAAAGCCTATTACATGCTACAACATGAATAAACATTAAGGACATTATGTTCATTGAAATCAGCCAGTCAAGGGGCTGGGGTTGTAGCTCAGTGGTAGAGCATCTGGGCTCAATCCTCAGCACCACATAAAAATAAATCAATAAAATAGAGGTTAAAAAAATAAAAAGAGGGCTGGGGATATAACTCAGTTGGTAGAGTGCTTACCTTGTATGCACAAGGCCCAAGTTCGATCCCCAGCACCACAAAATAAATAAATAAATAAATAAAATTTAAAAATAAAAAAGAAACCAGTAAGTCAAAAAAAGGACAAATATTCTCTGATTTACTTATATAAGATAGAGTAATCACATCACATGAAGAAAAAATAGAATGGTGGTTGATAGTGGCTGGGAGCAGGGGAAAGGGAAGCTATTGTTTAATGGGTTCAGAGTCTCAGATCTATAAGATGCAAAAGTTCTGGAGATTTGTTGCACTACAATGTGAAAATACTTTACTGAACTGTACATGTAAAAATGGGTAAGATGGGCCAGGCACGGTGGCTCATCCCCACTCTCAACACTTACATTGGGGATTAGTTTGTAACACATCAACTTTGGGGAACACATTTTAGCCATAGCAGATGCTACATTCCTAAGGGGTGACCTTGAACCTCTGGTCCCTTTGATGTTGACTGGCACCAGATCTCATTCACGCCCTTCTTCTAGCCCTAGCTCAGACTTATGAACTGCAATAGCCCCCTAAGGAGTCCCCTTCTCTTTTCCATAGCAAGGAATCAACAACCTGATAAACAAGAGATTGTTTTCCCCCTATAGTCTGAAAATACTGATATTTAAAATCACAACTTAATATTGATAAAATCACTATGATTATAGCTCTGTCCCCGAACTTTTTAAGGATGTATGAAGTCTGAAAGAGAAGACAGAAAAATGAGAGGAGTTCCTTCATTACGGATGAGAATAAGGATAAGTTAATATCCATCACTTTTTTCTTTTTTCAGGGTACCAGGGATTGAATTCAGGGGCACTCCTCAGCCCTATTTGGTATTTTATTTAGAGACAGGGTCTCACTGAGTTGCTTAGCACCTCACTGTTGCTGAGGCTGGATCTGAACTTGCAATCCTCCTGCCTCAGCCTCCTGAGCCGCTGGGATTACAAGGCATGAGCCACCTCACCCAGCTGTTACGGGTTTTTCTGATAACAGCTTTATTAAGACATAATTCACATACCATAATTCACATACTCTTTTAAAGTATGAAATTCAGTGGGTTTTAGTAGATTCACAGAATTGTGGTAACCATCACCATGATCTAATTTTAGAACATTTTCATCACCCCAGCTACTCATGGAAACCCTATCCCCATGAGTAGCTACTCCCCTTCTTTCCTTAAAGCAGACCCTAGCAACCACAAATTTGCTTTCCATCTCTAGATATTTATCTGGGCAGTTCATATAAATGGGATCATATCACATGTGTTATGATGTTTTAATAAAAAAGAAATCAAAACAAATTTCTACCTAATGAGACAGGTCATGCGTCAAAACCTATATGACGCAAGCAAATGGCGACTGGAGTAAGCAAAACTCTGGACAAAGAATCGATGTCCCTGGACTTACTATAGAAGTCATAGACCACCTCTGTCAGCTTCCTTACCTGAAAAAGCCACAAAAGTCAATTCCAGCTCTGAAGGTCTATGATTTTTAAGTGAACATACACTTAAAAAAAAAAAAAAAGAGGTAGCAAACAGTCTTATTTACTTTAACTGGTAAAACAAGCACCAAACAGTTACATTTTCCATGGCAAAGAGCCACAGCTGACAGTTGTGGCCATGCTCTGTGACCCATGCAGGTTCAGTAGCTCTTGTTCAAGGAGCAGTTAAAGTCTTACCTTCTGACAGAATCTGGTGGTGGGCCCATCCTCTGCTGACTCAGCAAATTCTGTCCAAGGAAGCTTCTCTCTTGTACAGAAAGCAAAGGGCATAGCTGTAAAGGAGAGAAAGGTTAGAATTCTATCACCCACAGCCTCTGGGTATGCTCCTCAGCTCAGCTACAGGAGATCACTATTGGGACCCTCCTTCTCCCAGGGCCAAGGAGGCTTCTTCAGAAATGAGAATAAGCATGTTCAAAGATAAATACATTATTCCCATGATCTTTGGCTAGACCCTGCCAGGGAATTAATTCAGTAGAAAATTTCATTAAACTAACTGGTTTTTGTTTTGTTCTGTAGTGCTGGGCCTCAGGGCCTTACACACGATAGGCAAGCATTCTACCACTTTCTAGATGCATTTCTAAATGTCTGCGATTGTTCTACCAGTTCTGAACAAACCAACTTTAGAGAAACATCTGCAGGATGCTTCATGTGACTTTATGGTGTTCAACTGCCTTGGCATGGGGGTTTGTGGCCTATTTTAAAACCACAATGGTGGATAATATTTCCCCCCCACAACACCAGTTGTGCTAAGGGGCAGGTCTTCTCTGACACCCTCAGAAACAGTTGTGTAGAAAGAGAAGCCTCAGCTTCCTAATTCCTCTAGTCCCAGGATGCCTGATCCTAGGACTGCACCAGAGTGAGCACACCACCCATGGTACCAGCAGCCTCTCCGTGCCCCAAACAGGCAGCAAGTGCTGCCAACAACCACCCCCAAGAGCCTTGGTACCAGACTTACGGCTCCCCTGTGTCCCTTTGGTGAGGTGAAGACAGATGAACTATTTTAAGGAAGATGACAAAAAAGCTGTTGATAACAAAAATGCTCTTTAGTGACCATTAATTCTCAGCTTTCAGAGCATTAGTAATGACTAAGTGCCCCTAGAGAATACAATCTCCCATGCTGATTTCATTTCAAGTCACTAAGGCCTCCAAATTTCTCCATTTCCACTTTTAATGGCTTTTATTTCCTGTTTACACAAATACTCCAACATAAACAAACCTTCAAGAGGAATGGAGATAAGGAATGGAGGCTGGGTGAGGTCAGGGGCTATAATGCCCCAACTATAGTTTTCTAATTAAAGGGTAAGGCATGATGGACCACTCAGTGAGCCAGGCTCCTGACTCTGACGTGGTTCTGTCCTTGGAAATTGCCAGCCTAAAGAGGAAGAGATAGATTGTGACCTGGGATGGCTGCACAACCTGGCAGGACAAAGTGCTCGGTTCTGCCAGAGAGAATCTCCGGGGCCCCACCAAGGAGGAGGGTGTCCAGGGTAGGCCTCAATGCATGAGGGGCAGTTCCAATCCAACAAAAGGAAGAAGTTGAATAAGGGACCAGTCTAAAAATCAAAATGGCATTACTGATACTAAAGTTCCACATCACCAAACAGAAACTAAGTTGTTATCCAACCTTAAGAAAGAGAAATGATAGCCAAATCTCCAAAACAGACCAATTTCAGTCAGCATGATACTGTCATTCCCTCTACTTTAATCTTTACCACAAAACTAATCTGAAGTAATGTGATGTTAACTGTTTTCAGTTATTTTTCTATTGTTCTATCTTCCTGTCTCCTGCCTTTCAAGGAAAGTAACTTTGAAGCAACCTCTTTGTTTCTACTTGATTCAGCCCTTCTCCTTTATAAAGCCAACCTCTTTCTTCTCAGCTCATTGGAATGCAGTGTTGCCTGATTCTAGACTCACCAAGTCAATTAAGAACTTCAAACTATGCTTATTGTAATTGTGTCTTTTGACAGGAGAAAAGATCTAATAAAACAATACAAGAAAATGTAGATTTGCAAGACCCAAGTTTCTAGACTGAAAGAATCCATTGAGTGCCTAGAATAATGATGGAGAGAGGTACACACAATGGGACATTATTATGAAATTGCAGAGCATTAGCCAAAAAGAGAAGATCCTATAATCATCCAGAGAAAAATAAGTCACAGACAATAGGTCATAAATTAAAATAGCTTTGGGCTAGTCAACAACATTCGTCAAAGCTAGGAAGCCATGAAGCCATATGTTTAAACTTCTGAAAGAAAATTATTTCTAACCTCACATTTGATACCTACCCAAACAATCAAGCAAATTGTAGAAGACACATATTTTAAGATGTGCAAGGTCCCAAAACATTTTTCTCCCATGTGTTCTTTCTGATTACTCAGGGGGCCATTCCACCCAAATGAGTAATCAGAAAGAGGAAGGAAAGAAGACGCCTCAGGATGATGATCCTAAAAACAGACTCCTCAGGATGATGAATGGATCAGTTGTGTGACCAGCAGGTGGGGCAATTAATTCAGACTGGAGCAGTTAGAAGGTTCTGGGACAGATTTCTTTAAGGAAAGGAAATTGATAGACTGCTTGATGTGTCTAAACAGGTTAAGGGAATTTAGGAGAAAGTATGGAGTTGAACTTGTGGTTAAGTATGTAGAAAACAAATCACGCTGCAGGGAAAACAAAAAATTATTCAGGAAAAGAAATCAAAATGGCTCAGTGGAAACCGAATGAAGCATAGACGAGGAAGGATACATGTATGTAGAGGCGGGCATGAGGAGGCAAAGCACTTCTACAGTGGGAAGTCCATGAATGACGTAAAACTGAAAAATTACGAAGTAACTATAGAAACAAAGGTAAATTCCAAAGAACAAGCTAAGTGTAGAAAGAAGATGCCTTGGGGGAGGAGAACAGCTGTTTTTTTGTTTTTTTGGTAACAGACCTTACAGACCTATTTTGAGTCTAAACCACGAGCACATATAATTTCAATAAAAATAAACAAAAAAATAACATAAAGGAAAAGCACATGGTACCAGGAATGCATATAACAGGACTCGATCTTAGATAGGCAGGCTAACTGGATTTGAGTTAAGATCTGAAGGTAAAGCAAGGTTAAGAGAGGCCAGAGGAAGAGGGTTTAAGGAGATCAGCCGGAGAGGTAATTATAAAAGCTGAGGAGAAGACTAGGAGGTGTAGCTTAGTGGTTGACTACATGCTCAAGGACCTGGGTTTCATGCCTATCATTTAAAAAAAAACTGAGAGAGATTTGGTAGTTTGGACCAGGGCAGTGGTACAGAGGGAGGGAGGAGTAAAGGGATTCAAAAAGATGTGAAAGACAGAAGTGAAAGGATCAAATGACCGAGTAGAGCCTGTGTGAGAGAGGGAGGCCAGGTTTCCTCAGATTCTGGTGTTGTTGACAAATGGTCTTTCTATAGAAAGAAGTTTTGGTTTTGTTGTTGTTGTTTGTTTATTTTTGTTGTTGGTGGTGTTTTTTAAATAGGGTAGCAGACACTCTTGACAACATGGAGAGAAGACACAATTGTTTGAAGGTAGCTGAGAAAGCATCACAAAAGACTTACTCCATGCTTCCTGGAAACAGATGATATTGACTCCACACATTGCAGCCACCTCGGCAATGGCCTCTATGCGTCTATGAAGGGCAGAGACCTGATGATTTAAAAAGCAAGGATTAGAATCCATTCAGTTCTTCTGAGAAGACAATCTGAAAGAATTTATCCCAATGTGCATTGAACAACAAACTCCCACCTGACCAGGTGTGAGGAGATGAGTGGGCTAGGGAGGTTCTAATAGCTGGTTATATCATCAGACTAAAATCTGCAATATAAAGTGGAGGTACAGAAGCTCTGGTTCCCATGGACACTGTCTCAATTTCCTCACCTGGCAATGGGGGAAACAACCACCAGATTCATGGGGTTGCTGAGAAGTATGAATAAGTCTGATTCTGTGTACTGTGTACAAAGTGCATATGCATGTACACACACACACACACACACACAATCTCCCCCTGGACCAGCTGCTCCCTTGGCTCTGGACAGTCTACTGTACACCATCCTGCATTCAAGGTGCCAGGCTTGCTTGTCCTGCCATTTCCACTGTCCTGTGTGAATCACACCTGCCAACTCGCCTTTCTGATTCTTCTAACTCTTCATGCATTGGTGTGTGCCCTTGGTCAGGAATGAGCTTCCCCCAACCACTCAGTTTTCCCAGATATGTGACATCTGTGTCACATGTTGTCCTTCTGTGAGCCTTCTGCAGATTCTCCCAGCTGCCTCTGGGTGCCTCTTTGGCAGCACTGTTCCCATTTTGCTGCCACTGGTTTCTCTACTGTCTCATTCCTGGGATCTCACATGCTTCCCAATCCCTGGCTCCAAGAGACATTCCATAGTGTTCACTCAAAGAAAGACCAAAGGAACCAGGCTGAAAACCCAGAGAACACAAATTCTTTCCAATGCTCTCAGTCTCTTCCCCAAGAGGCTATTAGCTCCAGGCCTCCATGTAGTGTCAGCACAAATTTGCTCCATGTTACCAACATGCAAAAAAATACTTCTAGGTGCCAAGGGCACAAGAACATTGCTGGCCCTACAAACTGACCATCTGGGATGATAGGGAAGATATATTCACAAGTAAAAAATCCAGAGAAAAAAGTAAACTGAGAACCACATTATCTTTTTTTCGATGATGGTGGTGGAATGCTGGGGATCAAACTCGGGCACACCAGGCCAGCACTCTACCACTGATATCTTTCAATTCCTCAAAAGCAAAGGAAGGATCAACATGAAAGATGATTCAGAACCTGACCAGGAATCCAAGTGACCTTAAGTTTCTCAAGAATCCCTAAGAATTCTCAAGAGTACTACATCATGAGGAAAATTCTGCAAAGAAAGCCATCGAAGTTTGAGCAGCTGGAGGAATGCTGTGAAGAAGTATATAAACTAACCACCTGTGTCTGTCTGTGGTGATGTTTCTTTAGGGAAATGCACAATGCTCCCACATTTATTTACTAACCATAAGTTCATAAACGAACATCGATCATATTCCTATCCACTTGTGGGCACCATCAGCTGCAATAGTTCTGGGTACAGGGAGTCTCTGCCTTTAGGACTAAAGCATGGGACAGTCCTGCCAGTGTATGCTGACAAGTGGCCTTCTGGCAGGTGACTGAGAGGCAGTGTCCCATGAAGAGAACTCTAGTTAGCCAAATGGGCACCTTCCTAATTGGAAAATGGAACTTAGTCAGGATCAACAGCTGGACAGGAAGTGAAAGGGAAGGTGGAAAGAACGGTAAGGAAGAGAAAGGGTAAAAACCAGAAGAGAAAGAAAAGTTCAAGATTCAGGCTGGAGGAAAATGAGGAGGTCCGGCAGAAGTGTTTGAGTTATCCTTTGAGACACATGGGCTTGTGGATTTAGATAAGTGGCCAGCCAAGGATTATGATGTGTTCAAAGCAAAGGGTGAGCCAGAGCCTTGTTTGTGTTTATGATCAAGAGAGGCTGCACCTGGGGGCTGGGGTTTTGGCTCAGTGGTAGAGCGGTTGCCTAGCAAGTGTAATGCACTGGGTTTGATCCTCAGCACCACATAAATACATAAAATAAAAAGGTATTGTGTCTATCTACAACTAAAAATAAATAAATAAATAAAGGTTAAAAAAAAGAATTATTAGAGAGAGAGAGAGAGAGAGAGAGAGAGGGTTGTACCTGTTCTGCCACAGGGGCATCCGCAGGGAGTGGAGTTCTGTTCTGAACTAGCCCCACACGCACGATCTGGGGGCGTCTCAGCTGCTCGTTGGCTGCCTCAAAGGCATATCCCTGTAGTTCAAAGTTTCCTTCCGAGGCAACTTCGAAAGCTCTGCTGGGCAGATCAAGCTTCCTAAATGAGCAGAAGAAGGAAGAGGATTTTGATGACATTTGCTGCATCTAAAGTTCCACTCCCAGGGACAGGTGTGTAGTTCAGTGGGACAGGGTAGACTCGGCACACTTAAGGGCCTGGGTTCCATCCCCAGGGCTACAGGGGGAAAAACCCAGAATCTCTGCAGTTGTTTATCAAGTAAAGAAGAGTTTGGGAGTGTCCTTGGCCAAGGGTGTCCAGTGCCAGGGCCCAAGGTGGCTAGGAAGCAGGAGGGCTAGGCCATGAATAGACACTATGCTGAGTCCAGACTCTACCTAATAGTCAATAGACTTTAGCACAGTTAGGCCTGGCAGAGTGGGGGAAGAACAACCAGCCAAGAGGTTAGTGTTTTGCAGTTATGGAAATCAGGGCAGGGATCAAAGTTCCAACAGTCAGCACAGAAAGGAGGGAGTAGTTCCAAAACATGCTTCTGATCTGGAATCAGAGGGCCGTGCTGATCCTAGGGAATGGCACAGGCTGTGATAACAGAAAAGGGCTGCAGAGGATACGGCTCAGGAGACAGGCTGAATGGAGGCCAAGAACTGATACTATGAGGAGGGCCCTGCGGCCATTTGCCCTTAAGGAAGCTGAGTCTTGGGTGGGTCATTCCCAGGTCCTGTCCTCTGCTGTTCCCATTAGGGATCCAGTTCCATGCCTGGTGTTGGGAGTGGGGTTTGATGGATCCAGGTGAAGGCCCAAGGATCCAGATCTAAGTGTTCATCCAAGTTTGTGGTTTATTAACAAAGGCTAGAAAATTATTTATAAAACTATCCACCAAAGTGGCCACTGGTCAAACAGCAAGTAACTTCTCATAACCTGTTACATGCCAGGAGCTGGGGTAAAACCCCAGAAGAATAGTTCATGGCCCTGGGCCAGGAAGGACTTACCATCTAAGGGTGAGATGATTATGAAATACCCAGAGAACACATCAAAAAATAACCTGACAGCCATTATCTAATAATAATATTTCTCTCCTACTTTAAATCACTTTCTTAAAGACATTTCTTTCAAAATCACAGCCCTGTCAGCCCAAGCCCCCTGTTGCCGCCCCCTGCCAGGCGCTTTCCAAGTGACGGGCCCTGACAGCTCTGAGTTCGGTTCCGCCCCTGACAATCAGCCTGCTTTTCAAACAGTCAAGGTTCCCTTCCCGCTGGCAGGTTAGAAATAGCAGCAGTGCCCACACCTCACCTCCCCTCACTGTACCTCCCACCCCCGGACGGAAGAGTCCCCTCTCGTCCCCTTCTCGCAGGCCTCAGCTTCAGGGCAAGTCATCCTCCATGGACACAGTCACACAGCTTTCCAGGAGCTACTATCTGAGGATGCATGAGCAGCCACAGGAAGAAAATAGGAGAAAGGTTTTATTTCCCTCCAAAGGCTGGTGGGTCCCGGGGACATATTGCCCTGTGCAAATATCCTATGGTTTTAGTCTGGGAAGATGTCAGGTGGAGGAGCCTGGCTCCTGTCTGGTCAGGAAGCCTGGCTGTAACCTGGCAGACATCCCTCTCTGTTCATGGCTCACAGCTGTTTTCTTTCTGCCACCTTCAGTCGTATTATCCCTCATCTCCCCACCGGTTGGCTATGTCAAGTGCTGCCTGCTGGCCCTGAGCCTGTGTACTCCCTCATTCCACAATCCCTGTGGATATTTTTCTACACCCAAGGTGAGGCAAGGCAGGGCAGGGCTGCTCCACCCTCCAGTTCAGCCACCTCTGGGGATACACCTCTCTTTAGCATCTCTATTTTCTGGTCACTAGCTATAAAATCTCTTACCCTACAGTGTCTAAGAGATCAAAACCTACCCTCAAGGTATACCCTGTGCTAGGTCCTTCAAAGGTCTGGACCAGAAATGAACCACAACCTCACAAGGGTTATCTGATGGAGGATGCAGTGGGGGTACTGCAATGGACTGAATGTTTGTGTCCCCCCAAAATCACATGTCAAAATCCAACCTCCAAAATAATAGGGCCCTTGGACGATTAGGTCACAGGGATGTAACCCTAAGAATGGAATTAGTGCCTATATATATATATATATATATATAAATTGGCCTAGCCAGGTATGGTGGCACACACCTGTAATCCCAGTGACTGGAGAGGCTGAGGCAGGAGGATCACAAATTTGTAGCCAGCCTGGGAAACTCAGTGACAGCTCGTCTCAAGATAAAGAAATAAGTGGTAGTGTGCCCCTGGTTCAATCCCCTGTACTATACACACACACACATACACTAAAAAAAAAAAAAATGAATATAAAACCAAAAAGGCCTAAAAAGACGTTGCTTGCCCCTTGCACCATTCGTACACATAGCAAGTAGGAGTAGGCATAGAACATGAACAGGAAACTGATCCTCACCAGACACTGAATCTACCAAAGCCTTGTTAATGAACTTTTGAGCATTCAAAATACATTTCAATGGTTGAAAAGTCACCCAGTCTATGGTGACTAAGATAGGTCCTATTCATCCATAGTCCAGGAAGGCACAGGGACCAGAAAATGAGATACAGCCTCACCAGGGGGATCTGTGGTTACCTGCAGCCCAACCCTGACCCCTGTAGTTGACTTTCAATCCCTCTATCCATCACCCTGCAACTGAAACCACCCCCTCTCCTGGCCTCAGCTCCATCTTCAAGAAGGAGAGAGCCTGTCACTTCCTGTCCTGGCTGCAACACACCCTCTTGGGCCCCCATCTCTCCTTCCTGGGTCAAGGCAGACCTGGCCTAAGGGCCCCAAGCATCCTCAGCAGCCTCTCACTTCAGGCACTTTATCTTTCTGCCTCTATTGACTATTTACCATCAGTATTTTAAATTATTAAACTAGATATTTGTTACAAGAGAAAATGCCCATGGAAGGGGGAAATTTAGAAAGGATATAAAAAGAAAAATAAGTTCCCCCCCAAGCCCTAGGCCCAAACCTTGCAGATGATCCCTTTTAGTAATGTTTTGTGTCTCCTTCCACAGTTTTTCTATGTAGGTACAGGTATTACAAATAAAATCATCAGGCTGCATTTTATATTCTTCAACTTGCCTTTTTCACTTGACAATACATAGTCATGTATTATGTAACATTTCTATCACAGATGGAATGTATAAGCGACTGTGGTCCCATAAAATTATAATGGAGCTGAAAAATTCCTATCATCATAGCTATCATGACACCGTAGTGTAATGTATCATTCACATGTTTGTGGTGATGCTGGCGTAGACAAACCTATTGTGCTACCAATCATATATATTGCACATAAATTATATATGTTTACATAACACTTGCTAATGATAATCAACAATAGTATTACTGGCTTTTGCACTTACTATACTTTTTAATCATTATTATAGAGTGTACTTTCTATTTATACAATGTGTTATACCATCAGCAGCCTCATATAGATCATGTTTTCTATACCTGCTGATTATATCAAGAGACCACATCAAAGGGTTCTAAATATTAAGATGTGGATATAGTTCAACCTCTGATAGGTACTGAGGTATAGCTCAGTAGTACAGAATATGCCTAGGTAGGCTGTGTGAGGCCTGGGTTCAATCCCCAGCACCACTGGGAGAAAAAAAAAATGAGACCACACTGAGTTGTCACATTGCTACATTGAAAGGCCACATTGATTGACCTATGCCATCTGGTTTCTGTAAGTGAACTCTATGATGTTCACTCAACCACAAAATCACCTAAGGATGTGTTTCTCAGAACATATCCCCATCATTAGGTGACATATGACTGACTACATAACTTGGGCATCTCTCTGTGTTACTACATATAGACCCACTACATTCACTATTAAAGCAATTAAAGCTGTTTGAGTCTCTCCCATTTAAAAAAAACAACAACAACAAAGCAGGGCTGGGGATATAGCTCAGTTGGTTGAGTGCTTGCCTAGCATGCACAAGGCTAGCACCATCAAAAAAAAAAAAAAAAGAGAGAGAGAGAGCACTCCACACATCTTTCTTGCTCTCCCTCCTCCACAGGAAGCTTCTACATACACTTCCTTTCAGCTCAGCCCTCACCTCCTACTCCCTTCTCAGCCCCCTGTTCTCAGGTCCCTACTACCTATTGTAGGAACCGCCCTGTGCATTTTCATCATTTAAGCCCAAATTGTCTTTGACTAACAAACATCCCTATACTATATAATGCTTCTTTCCTCTTCCTTTCTAGAGTCCTCCCACCTATACATCCTACCTTCAGAGTCTCTGCTTCTCTGACTATTCTAATATTTGGAATCTCCATCATTCCCTCTGGGCCTCTCCCATGCTGCACCTGCTTCTCCAACTAGGAGGATCATCTCCAGCACAGTTCTAAAACAGCTTCTCCCCATCAGGCCTTCCTCCATACAACAAAGAGCCACTGGACATCTCTAAATGGAGACCCCAAGAGTACCTATCAGAGGTTGAACTATATCCACATCTTAATATTTAGAACCTATGAATGTGACCTTATTTGGAAAAAAAGAGTCTTCACAGATGTAATTAAGTTAAGAATCTCAAGATCATCCTAGATTATTCAGATAAGCCCTAAATCCAATGAAAAGATTTTGTTTGTTTGTTTGATTGCTTTTTGCAGTGCTGGGGATGGAACTCAGGGCCTCAAGGATGCTAGAGCTAGGCAAGCACTCTACTGCTGAGCTACATCCCCAGCCCAGCGACAATTATTCTTATAAGAGACACCAAGAAGACAGTCACAGGGACAACAGGAGAAGGCCATGTGAAGATGAAGGCAGAGATTGGTTGCCACAAGCCAAGGAACCCCAGAAACCACCAGAGACTACAAAAAGGCAAATAAGAATTCTCCCCCAGAGCATCTGGAAGGAGTGTGGCACCATAGACACCTTGCTCTTGTACTTTTGGTCTTTACCACTGTGAAAATGTAGATTACTGCTGTTTTAAGCTCACTATTATAATTTTGGCAGCCCTAGGAACTACATAACACACCAAACTCAATTCATCCAAAGTTGAACTCATCATTATTCTCCAAGGCTGATCCTCCTCATAGGAAACCACCAGTCACCTGTGGGATGGAAGCCAAAAGCCAGGAATGATCCTCACCACCTGTGCCACACCTCCTATCCACTGTCCACTGGGCCCCTGACACTTCTCCATCCCCAGGTACTCTGTTTGCCTCTAGGCCTCTCATCCTTCACCTGTCCTTTTCCAGTCCATTCTTGACTTGGCTACTGTGGAAAATGCCCCAATGTTTCCACTACTGTAAGGATGAATGTCCACTGCTACAGCATGGCATACAGAGCCCGCATGGATCTACACTGGCCACTCCTGCCTTCTCCTGTTGGGTTTCTTCAATCTACTCTATGACCTCCTCTTTCAAACATGCAGTCCATGACTAGGCATGTCCCCCGGTGTCTGGAGACACAAGCCCTTCCTGTCTCCAAATGAACCCCTTTATCTCCTTCAGGATATAGCTTAAGTATGACAGCGCTGGGGAAACCTTCCTGCCATCCTTGAACTACAAACAGGTAGATTCTGTTAGGCTCTCCTTTATCCTTCTTTCACAATGTAAAACAGTCATCAAAAGATGGAAAGTGGGGGCTGTGGGTACAGCTCAGTGACAGAGCACATACCTAACATGCACAAAACTCTGAACTGGATCCCTAGCACTTCAAAACAAACAACAAAAAACCTCACTGGTTTCTTATCCTAGTATCCCAGGTGCCCAAGACAAAAACAAATCATCAACAAATGTTTGTTGAATGAATGAATGCTTCTTAGTACTGACTATCTTAAAACGAGAGTTGATGTCCTCTGGGGATTTCATCTGTCTGGTGTAGGCAAAAGCCCATTTAGCTCATTCACTTAGCAAACATTTACCAAGCATTAGCTCTCTTTCTTTTTTTCCCCCAGTATCACTGTGCCCAGCTAAGCATTGTCTGCATTAGGCACAAGTAATCAGAGAGAAGGTGGTCTTGTAGGGAGCAGAGTGGGAGTCCAGCGGAGGGACTGAGGACTCCAGAACCACAAGGCCTTCACAGAGGTGACCATGTCCAAGCTAGGCTCTAAGCAGTGCATAGATTAAGCAGGAGGTAATTAATTTTCTATCTTCAGTTGGAAATCCTGCTCATAGCTGAATTCTACCCAATCACAAGGATTGAGTAAGTACGAGGGTTTACACCCAAGTGCTAAAACCTAGAGAGACTGAACAGAACACAACCAAGAAGAAAAAGTAGAAAAAGGGGAGCCATTTGCTCAGTTATTATAAGTCAAGTCCCAACACAAGGCCTGACAGACACTGATCAATAATAGATGTTGGTTAGCACTTTCCCCACCCATAATCCCTCTCTATTCTGGAGTTCTCCAAATTCTGATTTAAAAAACAAAACAAAACAAAAAAACCCTCTAGCATGGTTGTCTTTGGCCTGACCTTAGCCCTAATTTCAGAATATGTCCCAGTCAGCCACTTATGGGGGGAAGTATTTCTTTTTTCCTAGTATGCTGCAGTTTTACCTCTCTTGACACCCATTAGCTCACTAGTTTTTTTTTTTTTTCAGCAGAACATGTGAATATGCTCACCTCACCCTTAAAATAAATTAATTCCCATTCCTACTAACTGTAGCCTGAGATATACCCTCGCTTTATTTAAGACACCTTCTTTGGGAGCCTAGTGCTAAGATACTTCCCAGATAACAACCTTATAAGTGCACTGCGAAGTACAGTACAGCATTGGACACACTGAGAGGGACCTTAAAGGTTATCTAATTCCTCTTTGGGTATGAAGAGCCTCTTTTTTTTTTTTTTAAACTAAACCCCAAAGGCAGGGCTGGGGATGTGGCTCAGGCGGTAGCGCGCTCGCCTGGCATGCGTGCGGCCCGGGTTCGATCCTCAGCAGCACATACCAACAAAGATGTTGTGTCTGCCAAGAACTAAAAAAATAAAATAAAATAAATATTTAAAAAAAAAATAAATAAACCCCAAAGGCAGCTTTATTCTACCTTTAGATATCCTCTAGCTGTGAAAACATCTTTGGTCTGGTCTCCCTGCCAGAACTCCAATAGTGATTGAGAACCATTGATCCAGTCAATGCCCTCTAGTTGCAGATGAGCAGATTAGGTTCTTGTTGGAAGGCCACTTGCACAAGGTCATGGAGCAGGTAGTCTGCTGGACCGCGGGGAGGCAAGAAGCCCACAAATGAACAAGGAAGTGGATTTAGCCAGGGCTTCTTGAGGTCAGAGTTTGAAGTTCATTCTAAGAGACCAGGAAAATCCCTTATATTTTTAAGTAAAAGGCAACAGGATGCGATCTGCATTTTAAAAAGGTCCTTCTGGTAGTTCCAGAGAAGACTGGACTAAAGAGAAACAACAATGGAAGCGAAGTGTCTTTTCCAGCTCTTTATATCTAGTGTCCATCCAATTGTGCATTGCCCTCAGAGAGTTCTGGTGACACACATGATTAACTAGGGGTGGAAAAACTTTTTTTACTGAACATGGTAACTAAACCCTTGCTTGCCAGTGGAAAAGTCTCCTTTGCCAATTAGATTCAGCTGAACTCTACCAATAAGGGTCCAGAAGGCAGTCACTCCAGGCAGGAGAGACTGGAGCCAGACAATCAACTGCACTGACTAGGGGGCTCCCTTTAGAAGCATTTACTCAGCCAAACCCCGCGGAGGGCAGGCCTGGTTCTGGAAAAGAAACTGCTCAAAGGGCAGAGGAGTGCTGGTGTGGCCACAGAGAAAGCCCAGGAAAGTAAATCTCAAACCCTTCCTTTCCCTTCTAGTTCCAGGCATACTGTGTGAGGGTCTCCCTGGAATCTTGCAACCCCTCACGGCCCGGGGCTGTCGTATCTATGATTTCTATGAGTTTTGCCCGCCTATGTAGGACCTCATCACCGTCACCTCAGAGCGCTTGAGACCCTGAAGCCCTCTTGGTTCCCGAGACCCACACCTCGCAACTCTGCCTCTGGGCCCCTGACCTGGTCTCCTTGCCATAAAGAACTCGCTTCACCTCCCGCAAGTCTTGGGATGGCAGATGCTTCTCCAAGCACTGCTCCAGCGACTCCCACTCAGCTCCCGCCATGGCTAGAGTCCTCCAGCTTTTACTTCCGAGAGGAACGGCCTACCCTTTGGCCCCAAGAAAAGTAGGAGGAGCAGGCAGCAGCGGCCAGATCCGCGGAATTGCCTTCCCTTCTATTGGGGCGCCCTCCCTCTCCCCACTGGGCGGGCTTACATGCGGACACGCCCACTCTGCGGACCTCCGCCGGCTGTGCGACGGGGTTGCCCCTTGCCCTTCGCGCCTCTTTGACTCGCGCCTAGACTACCCCTCCGCAGCTGGACCACCACCCGCGCCTCGGGTGTACAAAGTGGCAGCAGGCTGCTCCTTCCTGCTTCCCTCGCAGGTGCCGGGGTCAGAGGAGGGGGTTCTCTTGCTTTCTTACCCTTCCTTGCCCTCAGGTACCTCTTTCACCTGCCCCCACGGTGTTGGGGAGTGGCTCTGGAGAAGCCGTGAGCGAGACCTAGACGTGGTCTCTTGGGGGGCTAAGGCGCGGGTCTGAAGTAAACGGTCAGGTCGACTCTCAGATCTTCGCTGGGGCTTGGTCCTGCCTCTACTTTGCTTTTCGTTCCGCAGAATGGTGTAGCAAGCTGGGCAGTCCCACCTCACCGGACTGCCGAGAAAGGTACAGGATTAATTTCAGTGCCCCATGGGTAGGAGGTAGCAACTCTGTCTTATAAAGCCCTTCGTGTCTGAGGATTTCTAACTCCCTAGGCCCAGAGTCTTGGGAGTCCTGGCCGTTAACTAACTGGGCATGGCGACTTCGTTTGCGCCAAAGGTCAAGTGATGGGCAATAGAAACCTGCGATCACACATACCTTAGTGGAGTCAGTACTGTAAAATGAGGGGTCCCTGGGCAGGACACCCTCTCTGGATGCTGGATTCCCCTTCAGCTCTACTTTCTCTAGTAGTGTGCCAGTGTGGGTACTTTGCACGGGTGAGGTGCTTTAGACTTAAGCTAAGATGTTAAGCGTGAGCCAGGAAATGGTCCTCTTCTCAGCTCTTTTAATTAGGACATCAAAGCCAGCTTCCCTCTGGCAGGCACCATGGTGATGAAACCAGTCTGCTTAAACCCTGGTTTAACCACTTGGAAACCATGTGACCTCAGGAAAGTTTTTCAGTCACTTGAGGCTTCTGCTGGTTTGTCTGTAAAATAGGAAAGCAATGACTACCTTGCACAATTGTTTAAGATAAGGGTTGGGAGTTTCTAGCAATCAAGGAATGCAAATCAAAACTACATTAAAATTTCTTCTCACTCCAGTCAGAATGGTGATTATCAAAAATACAAAAAAGGGCCTGGGGTTGTGGCTCGGCAGTAGAGCACTCGCCTAGCTCAGGCAATGTGTTGGGTTCTATCCTTAGCACCACATAAAAATAAAAAAATAAAGGTATTGAGTCCAACTACAACTAAAAAAAAAATTTAAGAAAGAATACAAATAATAAGTATTTATTATTTGTGAAGATGTAGGGGAAAAGGTACACTCATACATGTTGGTGGGAGTGCAAATTAGTGCAGCCACTCTGGAAAGCAGTATGGAGATTCCTTAAAAAAAAAAAAAAAAAACTGGGAATAAGGGCTGCGGTTGTAGCTCAGTGGTAGAGCACTTGCCTCAAACTCATGAGGCCCTGAGTTCAATCCTCAGCACCACATTAAATAAATAGATAAAAATAACGATATTGTGTCTATCCACAACTAAAAAAAATATTTTTAAAAAACTGGAATAAAACTACCACATGACCCAGCTATCCCACTCCTTGGTATATATCTAAGAGATCTAAAATTTGCATGCTATAGAGATATAGCCACATCAATGTTTATAGCAGTACAATTCACCAATAGTCAAGCTATGGAACCAGGCTAGGTGCTCAACAACAGATGAATTAATAAAGAAAATGTGGAGCTGGTGTTGTGGCTCAGTGGTAGAGCGCTTGCCTCTCATGTGTGAGGCACTGGGTTTAATTCTCAGCACCACATAAAAATAAATAATAAATAAGGTAAAAAAATGTAGATGTGTCCATATACAATTTAAAATATTTTTTTAAAATGTAGTATACATAATGGCATTTTACTCAACCATAAAGAAGAATGAAATTATGTCATTTGCTTGTAAATGGATGGAACTAGAGAACATTATACAAGTGAAGTAAGCCAGACTCAAAAAATCAGGCATTGAATGTTTTCCTCTCATATGTAGAAGCTAGACCAAAATAAGGGGGAGAATAGGAGAATCTCATGAAAATAGAAGAGAGGTCAGTGGAATAGAGAAAATGGATTGAGGGGGAGGGATGAGAGATGGGAAAAGAGAAGAATTGTGGAATGAATCTAACTAAATTTTCCTATGTACATATATGAATATATCACAGTGAATTTCACCTTTATGTATATTGATAATGTACTAATGTTAAAAAAAACTATAAATAAATAGAAGAAATATCAGTAGAGGAAAGGGAACAGGGAGGGAGAAGGGGAGGGAAAGAAGTACTGGGAATTGAACTAGAGTAAATTATATTCTATGCTTGTATAATTATGTTAAAATGAACCCTAATATTATATATATCTATAATGAACTAATGAAAAAAGGGTTCAGGTGTACCCCAGTGTTAGAGCTCTTTTGAGTTTGATCTTCAACACCATACACACACACACACACACACACACACACACACAAATGAAACAACTCCACAACTTGAGACTTAAGTTTTTTGTTTGTTTGATTGTCCTGGGGAATATAACCCAGGGGCAATTTACCAATTTATCACCAAGATACATCCCCAGCCCTTTTTATTTTTTATTTTGCAACAGGGATTTTCTAAGTTGCTTAGAGCCTCACTAAACTGGTGAGGCTGGCCTTGAATTTGAAACCCTCCTTCCTCAGCCTTCTGAGCTGCTGAGATTATAGGCCCCCACATCAGGCAAGATGAGACTTGATGACTAGACAGGGTCATTGCCTCCTGTTAGCCTGAAGCAGCCATAGAAGATGGATCTTCATCACTCACCAAGTCTTAAGATTAAGGAAGCAAAGTATGGGGGGAGATAAGATAGAGTTTTAGGATCAATTTACTGAGTTTTAAAGGAAATACCCATGAGCTATTGAGATACAAAAAGTGTTTGGGAACAATTGTAATTCCTAAACAACATGCCTTGGTTCTACCCTTGTAAAAAAATGAGATGTTTAATTTTGATCATTGTTTTGATGTTAGCTGACAGTTTCCAGTATCTGATGAAGGGAGTTGCCTTTTCAAAATGCAAACTCAGGCTGGGCATCTCAGCAATTTGGGGGACTGAGGCAGGAGGCTCGCAAGTTCAAAGCTAGTCTCAGCAACTTAGTGAGATCCTAAGCAATTTACTGAAACCTTGTCTCTAAATAAATAAATAGGACTGGGATGTTGCTCAATGGTTAGGTACCCCCGGGTTAAATACTCAGTACTTAAAAAAATTTTTTTTTAAAAAAAAAAGCAAACTTGGAGGATTTTTCTGCAAGTAAGGCATTGTCATCAGAGTAATATAAAGATAGTACTTTTTATCCAAGAAGTACCTTTTCTTCAAGATTTAAAGTAGAGACAAACTTGTAAATACAGTTTTCCCTCCATATTTGCAGGTTCTGCAACTGCAGATTCAACCAATCTTGGATCAAAAAAAATTTTTTTTAATTATGTCTATCTTCCTGGATGCAGTGGCACATACCTGTAATCCCAGTGGCTCAGGAGGTGGAGGTAGGAGGATCATGAATTCAAATCTGGTTTCAGCAAATTATTGAGACCCTAAGCAAGTTACTTAGCAAGAGCCTGTCTCAAAATAAACCACAAAAAGGGTTGGGGATGTGGCTCAGTGGGTAAGTAATCCTAGGTTCAATCCCCAGTACCACACACACACACACACACACACACACACACACACACACACACAAAGAAAAAAAACTGTACTGAATATGTAAATTTTTTTCTTGCTGTTATTCCCTAAACAATAGAGTATAATAATTATTTATATATCATTTCTATTGGATTAGGTATTACAAGTTATCTTGAAATGATTTAAAGTATATTGGAGATATTATTCTAAGTAAATGAACCTCTGAGGAACTGCCAACATGCTTTCTATTCACTAACCTTGCTCCAGATCTGGAGAGCCATACTTCTTTTCAAGCTAAGTTTTGGAGGTTGTAATTATTTCCTTGTTTGTACATGAATTTGTCTAACCTTTTTATTGTTTATTGTTGTTCTTTTGTTTGTGTCAGTGGATTTCCTGGAGAAACCAGCACATACCCATTGTACTTCAATTTTTGTCAGTGGTCCTAAGTAGAATATTTTAAAATATATTGCAAAGTAGATGTTGACTCCCTTAGGCTGCATGCTTTAAGCTATTTTGTCCAGTATAGTAACCACTAACCACATATTGCTATTAAGTCCATTTTAAGGACTAGTCCAAATTGACATATGCTGCAACCATAAATATACACTGCATATCAAAGACTTAAGAAAGAATGTAAAAAGAATTTACAAAAGAAAAAATGTAAACAATCTTGATAATGACTTTTATATTGATAACATATTGGAATGATAATATTTGGAGTACATTCAGTTAAATAAAATACACCATGAAATTTTTGAAAATTAAAGCATATGGGAGAATGTTTTTAGCTGACATGTAAATACTACACCATTGTACTCTTTTTTTTTTTTTAGTTGTAGATGGACACAATACTTTATTTCGTTTATTTCGTTTTTTTGTTTTTTTTTTAATGTGATACTGGGGATTGAACCTAGTACCTCATACATGCATGCTAGGCAAGCACCCTACCATGGAGCCACAACCCAGCCCAATACTACACCATTTTATATAAGGAACTTGAGCAGCCCAGGTTTTGGTATCCTCAGGGATCCTGAGGATACTGATTCCAGGATCAGTCTTCTGAGGATACCTACTGTATTTGTAAACAAAGCAGATTTAAACAATGTGATATTAAAAAATATACAATATACTATGGAACATAAAGGAAGGGTCATTTCCAGCCTAGAAAGGTCTCATGGAAGAGGCTTCATTGCCAAATCAAAATGCCTCGAGCTGAACTTGAAACCCTCTCTCCAGACTTCTTT